TCATTGTCCTGAGATTGAATTCCATGAGCCATGAGCCATGAGCCGAAATGAGTTTAACTGCGATTTATTTTATATATTTAAAAACCCATTTTTATTTTGTTTATCTAATATGCAAACGTATATAATTGTATACTTTAATAATGTGTATATATGGATCCTCGTATCATTCCCGAGCATCTTTACGATTTTGTTTATGAACTGGCTTGCGAGATTAAACATAAGGTCAAATTTGACTCTTAAATAAAACGTTTTAATTTGAGCACAAACTCAATTCGGTGAAATAATTAAGCCTAAAGTTGGCCTCCCCTACTTGTTAGTTGATGAAAAAAAGTCCCCTAATTAGTGTTTGTACACAATTGGGAAGAACGTCGTTCACAAGCTAAATGAATATCAAGCTTATCGATTTGCCATATTTCTTCAGTAAATAACTAATTACCATAAGCAGATGATGGATAGTTTTAACGTCTAAAGGCAAAAGCCATTGACCTACAGAAAGAGTTGAAACACATGCAGTGATGAGCTAAATGGCATCAGCGCAACATTTGGATTAATGTGAAAGTGAAAGGGACACATACATATTCGGAGATGACTCGAATATGTATCACTTCACTGGGCTCAGACAACATTTTAAGTAGTTTACGTTGCGTCTCGTGTTAAATTTTCCTATAGATGAAAAAATAATTTTATCAAGACTATATATAAATTAGGAAATTTAAATCAATTGTAATTAATTATCAAAATATTTCACACTAGCATCGATTTCAAATGATCATTATCATCAAGGTGGCCTGGCATTCATGAATCGTTTGAACCGCTTTATTCTTAAATGGCATTATTATTCTATTTATAAAAAAAGTTATATGTAATTGGAAAAATGCTTGCCCTAATCACCATGATCACATTATAATGTCTAGTAATATTTCAGTCTAATGCATAACGTATATGATATACTAGTAACATTAATGCTATGGAGCCAATGGTTGGCTCCTTCAACCACCAATGTTATAGTGCCACGGTCATGTGAAAAAATAATTAACTCCACATAACATTGGTGGTTGACTCCACACCTAAGGATTATCCTCCTCGTGTTAAAAAAAAGTATGATTAAAATGGTCAAAATAAAAATAAGAATAACTGAAAATTCCTTGAATAATCATACAAATGACATTGAGATACATTGATCCCCAACTTTCTATCCATTTCCATATTTCAACACAACAGAGCACATGAGACCATTCCAATATCCATCAAATTTCCTTCCATTTTGGAGCCTAAACTTTATCCCCACATGATAACCAAATGACCTTTGTTGTCCCCCTTTCTTAAAGTCATCCAAGGCCAATGAAAATCCCTTCAACCACCCATGCCAATGCCAAACCTTAGGGGCATTATGGACATTCCATACAATGGGGCATAACATAAATGAGACAGCTCTGAAGTGAACAGAGGCTCCTTTTGACTGACCCCTTTCCTTTCAACAAACTCAATCTCATTCTTTACTGCTTTTGGTAACTCCCAAAACTATCTTCTTTCTATTAGTTTGTTTCCAAGCATTATATACTCATACCTTTTTTTTTAATAAAATATACATATTTTAATATTTAAATATCATATAATATGAGAATGTGTCATTGTAATAAAAGTAAAGCTGTTTAACAGTTAATCAAGCTAATAATACAAATTGTCAATCTTGCAAGAAAAAGTTGCCCACAAAAAATAAAAAATAGAATCAATTAAGTAATTGAAAACAAAGAAGTACGAGTTTAAACAATTCTGCTGATTAAAAATTTAAAGAGAAATCTCAATTTCCATTTTCAAATGTATATGATATGAACATAGGCACAAATCCCGAACGACCCTTCCAAGCAAAAGCACAGGAACAAATGCACATGCATTTGCCACATTTCATCTTCCTCTCATAAAGATTATTGTCATTACTCATTTCCTTATTATTCTCTTTAAATTAAATAAAAGGAAAATATATTAATTTACAGAAAAAAAAAGGAATAACGAAAACCAAATGCATTTATTAGTTGATGGGTTTCTGCCTCTGGTCTCACGATTAGACCAATATACTGTACTTCTTGTATAAACGTTAAAAACTTTCATGCTTAAAAAAAAATGAGAATAACATTTCCGTTTAATAATTAATGGTATACATTAATTTTTTCTATTCACAGTCCATTTCAGATTATTAATATAAATGCTTGCCCTTCCTGTGCTCTCTGCACCCCCATCACTCCTCCATACATTCTGAGCTTCACCTCCACTCATTCTCTCACTCCTCACCTCCAAATTTTCTCTCTCCTCTGTCTCTCTTTCCTCCCTGCAGTTCTCTTCCAATTGCATTTCATCTTCTGTTTTGAGTTTATCACAAGTTTTTTTTGTTGATAAACCAAACTCCCACACTATAGTGTTCATATTCACACAAAAAACACACATACAAAACAACACAGATCTGTGTACATTGCACATTATCATCTTTTGGGCTCAAAAATAAAACCAAAAAAGTAAAATCAAATGGACAAATCCGTGGGGCTCTGTTTTTCTATGGCTCCCCTGTTTTTATTTCTCGGCATTTTCCTCCTTCCACAGGCATTTGCCAGCCATGATTATGGCCAAGCTCTCAGTAAGAGCCTTCTTTTCTTCGAGGCTCAGAGATCTGGTTACTTGCCTAATAACCAGCGGGTCAACTGGAGGGGAAATTCCGGCCTAAACGACGGAAAAGTTAGCGGGGTAAATACTCTCTCTTTCTCTCTCTCTCTCTCTCGTAATGTTAGAAAAATTCTGAGTGTAAAATGCGGCATTGTGTGTGATTTTGCAGGTGGATCTGGTCGGAGGGTACTATGACGCCGGGGACAATGTGAAATTCGGGCTGCCGATGGCCTTCACCGTTACCATGATGTCGTGGAGCATAATTGAGTACGGGAGGCAGATGGCGGCCGGCGGCGAGCTTGGGCACGCTCTCGACGCCGTCAAGTGGGGCACTGACTATTTCATCAAAGCTCATCCCGAGCCCAATGTTCTCTATGGAGAGGTAAAATAATAGTAATATTTTATAAATTAAACTGCATTTCGAAATCAATATTTTGAATTAAAAATAAAGCTTAATTTGCTCGGTTTTACTCCCAAAAAAAGTCAGGTTTTTCAATCACTTACCATGGGATCGAAACTTCCAATCTTCTGAAAATGAAAACCGAGTGATAATTCGCAACTTTGTGCAGCTAACATGTGTGGCTCATTTAGTCTAAAAAAATTGTTTTATCTATTTATTATTTATATAGTTAAATAATTAATGGGTGTGAGTTTGGTTGAGTTGTAGGTGGGAGATGGTAACACGGACCACTACTGCTGGCAGAGACCGGAGGACATGACCACATTGAGAGCCGCTTATAAGATCGACCCGAGCCACCCGGGATCTGACCTCGCCGGCGAGACCGCCGCCGCCATGGCCGCAGCGTCAATCGTCTTCCGCAGTTACAACCCTTCCTATGCGGCGGAGCTTCTCAAACACGCTTCCCAGGTCAATTTAATTTTCTGTTTTCTTNCAGAGCAAGTACAGTCGAGCTTTGTGTGGTCTGTGTGAGTCCAGGCTCATTTTAGTCACCGGTTGGGGTGCGCATTTTAGTTAGAGGGGCTCAGTTATTAGGCAGTTATATTAAGCTCAGCTTTTCTGTCAGGTTGGTTGTTGTCGGTGGACTGTAGCAGAAGGGTACCGATTTTAATTTATTGCTTGAAATTAACTGCTGAACCTAAATCGTAAATATTACTTGGACTAAAATAAATTACTGTTTCTAGAGATGGAAAAAAGTCTTTAACCTTCATTTTATCCCTCTTTAGTAAATCTCATAACGGGAGATGTTAACATAACCAGATTAAATTACTTGTGAAAGCTCAAGCTCGTCGAGTTGATCTTGTTCATAAATATCATGTTTGCAAAAAAAAAAAACTGTATGTCTTGCATCACTTTATTGCTAAAAAATATATAAGGACTGGCCTATTGTGTTATCAAGGTCTATAAGAGAATTTATCAAGGTCTTAAAGTCCTTAATGTCACCATCAGAACCCCTTTAGACACATATTCTATCTGTGCTTTTGAAATAGGATGTTTTGCAAGAAAGTTTGAGAGTCGAGTTTAGAAACGCAGAAATCAATTACTATAGAATCAAAATGGTTAATTTATTTGGTCAATGTCCATATCTAAATTGCTCACGTTAATTCATATTTTTTTATTTTTCCAATGTTTAATTTGATGAGCATATTATATACAATAATTATGATATAAAATAATGTAATAATATTATCTTAGTCGTCTTTGCCCATTCACAATCAGCACAGTATTGTTGATTTCGTTGCTGGGTAATTGTAAATCCGAGGTCTCATTTTAAGACTATAAATAATTGATTAATTTCATTAATTTTTTGAAACGTTTTGGAACGTTTTGGCATTTAATTTGCCTGAGCATAATATTTCGGCGCATAAATTGGACCATGTGGCTGGGGACCAATTTCTGCCGTAAATCACGGGCATTGTCCCAATAAACCAACGATAGAATCTCAGCCGTTGATGAGATTGCCCGTAATAATCAATTATGGGCCTCGATCATGACACGTGACAAGTTGTCGGTGCACCACGAGTATGTTATTATTTTTTGACAGGTCGAAACAACCCCTATCTAACAGTCTCCCTTTCTCGCAGCTCTTTGATTTCGCGGACAAGTACAGGGGCAAATATGACAATAGCATCACGGTTGCCCAGAAGTACTACCGATCAGTCAGTGGGTACACAGTATGTGATTCCTCCTCCCTTCATTAATTGCATTTAACAGTCATTTTTTTATTTGATATACTTTTTTATATTAAAATAAAATGTATATTGTGTACCCTCCTCCCTTCATTAATTGCATTTAACAGTCATTTTTTTATTTGATATACTTTTTTATATTAAAATAAAATGAATATTTTTTTTTTTATCAAACAACTAAAATTTGGGGTGATTTGATATAACTATTTCAAAAAATGATTTGGTACAACTCTTTAGTAAAAACTATATCATTCATCTCTTCATAATTTTTCCTCCTCAAATTTATTAATACAAGTAAAAAAAATATATAAAATAAGCATCACCAAACATTTTCACCAAAATTCAGTATTCATGCACTCATATATCTAAATCAATAATAATTAATAAACTTTAACCATAATTAATTCTCTTTGTGGAAATAGGATGAATTGTTGTGGGCAGCTGCATGGTTATACAAGGCAACAAACAACGAATACTACTTGAATTACCTTGGGAACAATGGTGATGCCCTTGGAGGAACTGCTTGGGCCATGACTGAATTTGGTTGGGATGTTAAATATGCTGGGGTCCAAACTTTGGTTGCTAAGGTACATTAAAATCCCACATTTCTTCAATTGTTGCATTTAATCTCACATTTTAATCCCACATTTTTTTGGTGCAGTTCTTGATGGCAGGGAAAGCTGGTAGGCACACCCCAGTTTTCCAAAGGTACCGAGAAAAGGCAGAGTTCTTCATGTGCTCGTGTCTCGGCAAGGGGACCCGCAATGCCCAGAAGACGCCAGGTGGACTAATCTTCAGACAGAGATGGAACAACATGCAGTTCGTGACGAGTGCCTCATTCCTCATGACTGTCTACTCCGACTACCTAACCTCCGCCCGCCAATCTCTTAGGTGCGCCAATGGCAACGTCTCCCCCAACGAGCTCCTATCCTTCGCTCAATCCCAGGTAACTATCTAATTCATTTAGCACATAAATATCAAAGTAACAAAAAATGATTCTTTTATTTATTTATATATTTTTTTTGAAAGGTGGATTACATACTTGGGGACAACCCACGGGCGACGAGTTACATGGTGGGGTACGGGAATAATTACCCGAGACAGGTCCACCACAGGGCAGCTTCCATTGTGTCCTACAAGGTGAACCCCTCGTTCGTGACTTGCAGGGGAGGGTACGCCACCTGGTACAGCCGCAAGGCGAGTGACCCTAACCTGCTGACGGGCGCAATAGTTGGCGGGCCCGATGCTTACGATAATTTTGCCGATGAGAGGGACAATTACGAGCAAACCGAGCCCGCCACATATAACAATGCCCCGCTAATTGGTATATTGGCGAGGCTTCACGCGGGTCATGCCGGATACAATCAGCTTCTGCCAGGTTAGTCTTAGTTTGTTAGGGGGAAACTTTTAATATTATTTGAGTTTAATTTCTTGTGTTGTTGATTTTTTATTTTTATTTTTTTTTTCAGTGGAGCTACCTGCGCTTAAACCGATTGCGACTAATCCAACACCGGAATCAAAGCCTGTGATTAAACCAGCTCCAGGTTAATTGTTTGAGTTTAATTTCTTGTGTTATTGTTGTATTTTTTGGTTATGTTTATCCGAAACTCACATGTGGTTGAATTGTGCAGCTTCTGCCTCGGGCAGCCCGGTTGTTGTTACTCAGAAGGTCACGAGCTCCTGGGTGCTGAACGGGAGAACTTACTACAGATACAGAACAACAATCACAAACAAATCCTCCAAAGATTTGAGAAACTTAAAGCTCGACATTTCTAACCTGTATGGTCCACTGTGGGGACTCACCAAGTCTGGTAACTCCTACTTCTTCCCATCATGGGCTAACTCATTGCCTGCCGGTAAAAGCATCGAGTTTGTGTACATCCATGCAGCCTCCCCTGCAAAGGTCTCAGTGTCGAGCTACAATCTCGTCTAAATATGCGAAGGGAATAAGCTATTTGTCGTTATTCACTTCAAGGTCAAGCATTGTGCAGCTACATACAAGTTTACATTCCGAAAGGCCTCTCTTTGTCTGGAAAATGTTTCTCTTAAGTTTCGATTCCGTGTTTGATTTATGAGATGCGTTTATTAGGATGAAAGTTATGGTAAATATAAGGTCGAGAAAGGATGGAGAAAGGAGTGAAGAGACGATATGGAAGCTAAGTGCTCATCCTCTTTCTTCTCTTTCACCTACCGAATATTAGGATCGTAGAGTGAGAGAATGGCTGAATGGAGGGTGAGAAAAGTCGAGAGGAGACATCTCAAAACTATTTAAACTTTTTTTTTTTTCTTTTTACTTCTTGTTTGTACTTGGTCAGAGCATGTTTGAGTTTGATTTCTCGTGTTTGATGTTGTTGCCTTTACAACATGTCTTTATTTCGAATATGAATACAGTTTGCGTGAAGGTGTTTGGATTAATAGCAACTTCTTATGTTTTCTTGCATCCAAATTTGTTGCTCAAGTTACTTTTCATACTCTCTTATCAGAAGAGTTCTGCTTCCGTCTTTGTGATTGAGGTCCTGTCTTCCATTTCTTATTTAGATTCTAACTGATACGAGATTTCTTATATCCATATAGTTTGTATTCATAAGTTACGCTGCAATTTTCTTAATGTGTATGTAACTTGTACCCATATGAGTGTAGTCAAAAGTTTAGCTACTCATTCACTCTCTTGGTCTTGGAAAGGGAAGTTGAATTTTAGCCAAGACATTGGTTGATTTTCATGTTCTAGTGATGTTTTTTATGCCAATCATTCACCAGTTTTGAAATGCAAAATTTGATGAAAAATCTTTATTTCTTTCTTGTGGTTGTGAAGATCCTTCCTTTATACAAGAGATGAGGGAAAACAATATCAAAGAGAGATAATGTTGTCTTTTCATCCTTTCAAAAGAGCAATAACCTGTAATTTATAGGTGACTTGTGTAATTTTATCCTTCTTTTGTAATAGTTTTAAGTTAAATAATATTTAATCCTCTAGGTGTTGAGCCTAAGCGTCAGACTCACACGTTTCGAATGCTAACATGGTGAAATTGTATGCTTCGTAATTTGATTTGTATAAACATTATTGCTTTGTTAACATGTTTGGTATATGTCATAAGTATTTTATTTGCAATTTTGGTAAGTATTCATTTATTTTTGTCCAATTTTCTCTTTTCCAAATAACATTTATTCTCATTTTATTTATTTTACTCCATATTTTATTCATCATATTTTAAAAGTTAATATTTTTCTTATATATATTCCATTTTTCATATATGATTTATTATATTAATCATCTTTTGATGATCTTCAATTTCATATCCATATCAAATATACAAATTTAAAATTAATTTCATCTATCTTATTAACTTATAATAATTTAAACATCTGTGCAAATGCACATGATCGGATACTAGTTAAAAGTATGACTCTTCTATCTAGGCTCTAGAGCATGTAAGCAGCATACAAAACATGAAACGTGCAGCTAAGCAAACAGTATTTGAGCTAAAATTTCTTTTAATCACTTTGATGAAGGCTTAACATTAACATGAAAGGCTCTGACGTTTTATTTGGGGGGACTCGCATGACACCAGAACGCTGAGTCTAGTTCGATGGGAGGAGGTGTGCATGGCGAAAGAGCATGGAGGCTTGGGCATTAAACGACAACGATTGATGAACATGGCCATGCTCATGAAGTTGGGCTGAAAATTTCTCACGCACCAAAATACATTATGGGTACAGATTTGGAAAGCTAAGTACGGAGACAACCCTTTCGAAGTCATTGCGGGCCGTAGAAAACCGTGCTCGACAACTATCCAATCCGTACAAAAAGTCTGGAAGCACGTCGTTAACGGGGCCCGCTGGGCGGTTGGACTGACAAATGGCTGCACTCGGATACCACTTTACATATAGTCGCTACTGGCGTGATCCCGACAGATTTTATTGATAAAAATATCAGCTTTTTTGTCTCGGAGGGTGGCACATGGCGCTGGAATTTATTCTCCCACTTGGTGCCGAATTCCGTGATTCTTCAGATCGCGGCGATTCCGTCGCCACGAGCGGAGCTCGACTGCGACCGGCTCTATTGGGGCCCCTCGGCTACTGGGAAGTTCACCACGAAGTCCGCGTATGAATTTCTAGATGACGAGAGCGTACCGATATTGAGCCCGAGACTTTTATGGCGGGCGGTTTGGCAGTGGCCGGGCCCCCAACGGATACGTAATTTTCTTTGGCTCCTGGTGAAGAATTTACTACTCACCAACGTAGAACGTAAGAGACAGCATTTGACTGCCGCGGCCCTATGTGAGACATGCAGCCAAACTGAAGAATCCACGCTACATGTATGCCGAGAGTGTCCCAAGGCTGCTGAGATATGGAGACGCCTTTTGCCAGGCCCAGCTCAACATGAGTTTCTCTCCTCAAACCTGGACCAATGGTTGGTTTCAAACCTGGTGTTCCCGTCGCGTATAGGAGGCGACCGTTGGGCGTGTACTTTTGGTGTGGTTGTGTGGAAACTATGGTGCTGGCGGAACGAGAGCCTTTTCAAGGGGAAGAATCGAGATGTTGATGGTGGTTTACACGAGATTTCTATTTATATCGAGGGGTTGGCAAGGGTGACTGAAGGAGCCCGCAAGCTTGGGGAGACGGGCCGATCGAGAACATCTCATTGGGTAAGTTGGGAACGTCCTCCGTTGGGTTGGATTAAAATTAACTCGGATGGTTCCTTTACTCCGTCATCCGGAATGGGGAGTGCGGGGGGCCTGATCCGCGATGATCAAGGGCACTGGCTTGGTGACTTTACAATGAACATAGGTATTTGCTCGATCATGACGGCGGAATTATGGGGTTTTTTTCGGGGACTATCGCTAGCATGGGAGCTGGGGTATAGACACGTGGAAGCAGAAGTTGACAGTGCAAGTGTGGTGGCCTTTGTTACATCACTGGATGATGTCCCGGGCATGCATCTAGGTCTAGTGTCGGGGATCAAGGAACTCTTGAGTCAACCTTGGGAGGTAAAGGTGAAACACATATTCCGTGAAGCGAATTATTCGGTCGATTATCTAGCTTCCTTCGCAGCGGAAGGCCCCGTGGGGTACCGGTCTTTCAATGCTCCGCCGGAGGTATTCGTCAATGGCTACAGCACGATATTATTGGCGTGACCCATACTCGAACCGTCTGTAGCCATTGACGATATTTTTTTATTTTTTCTTTAAAACAAAAAATAAAAAAATATTAACATGAAAAGGTTTTTTCTTTAAAACAAAAAATAACATGTGTTGAAAGTCAATCGTGTGCTCTTCACGTTCTATCACTATTCAACAGTCATATTCATCTAAAGTCTTTCTCAGAATTATCATTCCAAGGAAAAACACATAAATCCGAATTATTCTAAAGAAAGCGGCGACTGAATTTGAAGAAATTAGGGGAAATGGAGAGCTTGTTGGTGCGCATGTGCATCGACTCGGCCACTCAGAGCGCCGGCGCCGTCGAAAAGTGGCGGAGGCAGCGGCGGACTCTTGAGCGCTTGCCGTCTCCTCTTGCCGATGCCCTACTCCGCCGCCTGCTCCGCCGCCGCCTTCTCTTCCCTTCTCTGCTCGAGTATATTTCCTTACGCTGCTTTTTATATAGGATTATGTTTATCTTCGTCCCAATGAATTGACTTTACTCGAGAATTGTTGGAGCATAAATCTCCACGCATGGATTCATTTTTTGCTTGAATTGATTTCAGTAATGTTCGTCCTTTGAATCTAATTTACAGTGTTACCAATTCAATTCGAACCTGGGGAAATGAAAATGTTGGTCGGTATGTGTTATAGTTAGCAAGATTCTAGGTTTTGATTGATGACGTGATTTGCTTTTGCAGTCATTGAATAGATATAGTGATGGTAATGCATGTGCTTTCCTTCTTCGTCTTTTACTTTCTTTTTCCTACTGTAAACATACATCAGAAATGGCTGCACTGAATAATTTCCCTATCTATGGGAGAGATTAGATTTATAAAAAGAAATATCCGCTTTTACAGTCAGCTGTATGTCATATTTGACATTTTCGTTTATATGCCATCCTTCAGAGTTTTCAAATACAGTGCAGAGGAAGTCGATTTGAGAGGTGAGAGCTGTGTGGATGCAGAATGGATGGCATACTTGGGGGCCTTCCGATACTTGCGTTCAATAAATCTTGCAGATTGCCACAAAATCAATAATTCAGCTATTTGGAGTTTATCAGGTACGCAAGCAATATGCAAGTATGCTCTTGGTCTGTATGTATTTCCTCAGCCAGTCAGCTTGCTGCAACATGACATGGATATATTGGTGTCTTTTTTCTCTTAAGCTGTTCCTTCAGTTTTCCTGTGTTTATGCTTTCTTATCAGTGTGATGAACAACAGGTAGCTGCTAGAAGTCATATCTTTGCCCTTGATTTGTTCCTTTTACAGGGTGTTGTGTTGTGATTCGTAAAACTAGTTGTTTTATTTTATTTCTTTTTGGGCAGTTGTACATATTCGCTGATTAAAGGCATATTATCCATAGTTAGTAAATATTGTGATTGTAGTTCTGAGATGAAATGATGATTTGCTTGAGATTTCTTATCATAAGAAACTAAGGTCTATTACTTCTACTAATAACTAGCAAGTTTTAAATGTGTTTTATCTGGACTGACTTCATTGTATAAACTTCAGTAGTATCAACTATGGCGTGTGAGTTTATTTTGGTAATGAAATTTTAATGCTATAAATATTTTTTGTACAACTTTCAGGCTTGACATATTTAAAGGAGGTGGATCTGTCGAGATGCTACAAGGTTACAGATGCTGGTATTAGACATCTATTATCAGTTCCAACTATCGAGAAACTATGTATTTCACAAACAGGTGTTACATCAGATGGTGTGAGGATGCTTGCTTCACTAACTAACTTAATGATGTTGGACCTGGGAGGTCTACCTGTCACTGATTCGGCTCTGAGATCTCTCGAGGTAAAATATAAGTTGTCCATGTTTCTTCCTCTCTTTGTGTCTCCGCTGGTCTTTTTTGTAGTCATGTTTCCTTGGGAGCTAATTTTTATTCTTTTATCCCACTTTTCACCGATAAATGAGTGTTTATCTTTATAGAAATATTATAGGAGATGAACTTCTTTTTATCTGTGAAAATTCTAAGGAGATAATGGGGTGCAAATGATTTTATTAGAAGTAGAGTGCTGCATGGATTGTATCTTTCGGTGTTGTTAGGGTACTATACCAATTTTTATATCAATATTTTTTTGGGGATTTTTTTTTTCTTCTTATATTTTTATCAACAAGAAAGGAATGAGGTGGATATGGCTGCTTTGAAGGTTAATATGGCTTCATATTTTCTAATGGGTGTCAACTAGGTGAGAATATGGTGCCATAGTGGTCTTTCACCTTCTTGACTTAACACATTGAGATATCAAAGAAGGAAAATCGTGCTGGTCTGCACTTATGGTGGTTGTTTCTAGTTTTTCTTTTATATTTTTTTCCGTTTTAAGTTCTATATTATTTGATGCAGTGGTTGTTTCTAATTTTTCTTTTATTTCTTTCCCGTTCTAAGTTTTGTATTATTTGATGCACATTATCTCTATCTCTTGATAATATGGACTTCCATAATGCGAGTGACGCAATATAATACTTTTCAGGTTCTCATGAAATTGCAACATTTAGAACTCTGGGGAAGTGAAGTATCTAACATAGGTGCAGCTGTGCTCAAGAAATTTCCCGACTTGAGCTTCTTAAACCTTGCCTGGACCAATGTAACTGACTTGCCAATTTTGCCCTCTCTTTCAACCCTGAACATGAGCAACTGCTCCATACATTCTCTATTCAAAGGAGGTCAGAAAGTCTGCTTGGAAAAAGTTATGTTCTCTGAGGCCACATTCACTGATGTTTCTGAAGTTTTCCAACATGTCGAAACAAGCAAACTTTATTCATTGGATATATCCAGCCCCTCCGTTAAGTCGTTTGGCTTTTTGAGTTCAATGAAGGCACTAACCTATTTGAACCTGAGTGATAGTGCCTTGGTTGACAATTCAGTCGAACATGTAACATGCATAGGAGCAAAACTAAGGTACTTAAATCTCAGCAATACTAAAGTGAGTTCTGACGGGATTGGGGCATTAGCCGGACATGTTCCCAATCTTGAGACGCTATTGTTGTCTGGCACACCTGTCAACGACAATGCTATCATATATATCAGCATGATGCCGTCGCTCAAAGTCATCAACCTAAACAAAACAAATGTGAAAGGTGCCATTCTAAAACAAGTTCCATTTTACTTTCTATATCATTCTCCTCTTTCTCTATATTTCTGATGAATAATTAATCCGTATTTATAAACCTCGGGGCCCAGCTCCAGTTGTCTCCTAAAGTACAATGAACCCTCTGAAGTTTGTATCTACCTAGGAAATTAAGAGTGCAATATCCAGAATAGAAACAAAATGCAAAGTGGCTAGTTGTACTTTCGAAATATTGACATTCTCCTTTTATGTAATTAATCTATAACTCAGGGGTACCTTTCGTTAGTCAACATTTAACACTTTNTTCTACAGGTTTGCTTCACCAGGAAGATGGTGATCATGACGAGGTCCCATCATTTTCCGCGCTGGAAAGTCTTAATCAATTAGAAAGGCTGGACTTGGAGATGGTAAATATAAAGGACAATGCTGTCTGGCCCCTGACAAAATTGCAGAGATTGCGACATCTGTCCCTGCAAAGTTTTTCGCTTACGGATGTATCTCTACACCACATATCTTCTTCCACAAATCTGACACATGTCGGTATCCGTGATGCTGTGCTGACAGATGGCGGGCTTCTTAGTTTCCTTCCCCCTCAGGCCTTAAGAGTGCTTGACATCACGGGATCCTGGCTATTGACGAGAGACGCTGTAATGCATTTCTGCCGTAAGTACCCTCAAATTGAGGTGAGGCACGGGCTCGTTGAGAGAGTTGATAAGAGGAATTTCGATCATTTGTCTCCATCACGAGTGAATGTGACAGGTGGTTTGCGTTCGAAGCAGAAGCTAGGCAAGCAGTCCATATCGACCATTAGGTCTTCTGATGAGAATTTTCTGGGTGAGATATATTAACTGTGTGTTCTAAAAACAAATCAATGGTGACGCTGCCTTCACTTCTTGAATAACAACGATGTATGTATGTGTGCAGATCAGAGATTGAAATACAGCAGGGAAGAGTTAGTGGCTCTGCAATTTGCGTCGGGAGCTTCAACTTCTCACCCGACCTTATTGTCCTGATGATGTTTACACTGATTTTGACGTTTTGAGCTCTACACAATCTTCTTGTGGTTGGTAGATCAAGCAGGAGGAGCCGAAGCTAGCTTGTCTTATTGAGTGGTTGAGGAAATTGTTCTGTTTACTTTGATTCTAAATTGTGGCGCAGAGTCTAGATTTCTTGAAACCTTTGGAGCATCAAAAGCTGTACCTTTGTTTAATGTGTTGTTGTAATGTTTGTGAATCATGTTTTCTTGGGAGTTATTCTCATGTTGTATCATCCTCGAAATTTTGCTGAGTTTGTATGATTCCCATTGTTTTTTCTGCTTCTTTAAGCTTGTCTGCCAGCATTTGGCT